TCACAACGTTTCGTACAGTTATTTATAATATCTCTGATACCAAATGATGTAGCAAGAAGCATGAGAGGGAATGAGATTTACAGAGAACACACGAAGAACTCGTTCTTTCTTTCTGAGACAATTTCACAAATCTGATAACTGCACTTCACAACGTTTCGTACAGTTATTTATAATATCTATCCTAAACACTTAGACTTAAAACCCATAATATTACAAGCCCAACACACTAACATAAATAAATAACCACAAGCCCAACACACAACATAACTAAATGCACACAAATACTAAAATAAATATAATAATAATAATCACACTAAAGCTCGGAGCCGATCATATTTATCGAGATATGCTAATGCAATCTCGTCGGCATCATAATTTGTTGCGGTAGCAGCGGATTTGAGTGACAAGAGGACACTGGAGAGACGATTCTGCAAATACAGTCAATAATAACTGATCATGCAATATTAATCAAAGGATTACACGTGATACCCCTTCTAATCGGAACTAGAAAGGGAACCGAACGGGAGAAAGCACACAACACGTGTTCCATATACGACCACATCGGTCCAAACTAAACAACTACAACTACAATAAGGCTAAAAAACACACAAAAGCCAAAACAAAATAACTACAAAACGGAGACAAAATAACTCCATGAAGAAGACTAAAACAAAAAGAAACTGGACTTGAATCAAAAGACTAAAAGAAAAAAAAACACTAAAACCACAAGAAATCAAACTACAAACCTAATAACTAGACCAAAATAGAACCCTCCCCCACTAACTGAAAGACGTACCTACCCTAAATCACTCGAAACAAAAATTTGAAGGCAACCACCCAAAGAGATGGAAAAGCACATTCCTAGCCCAAAACGAATCTAGAAACTCCGACTACCTGCTAACTAGACTCGGGTCGACAAACTCGAACCCTCTCGCAAGAGCAATACCACCGGATCAGCCTCAAGGGTCCATTCCCATCTCATCCCCGAAGCTGACAACCACAATTAAACAATGACCGAAGTTGATCACCGCCTCGGCCCTGTTACCCCACCAGCCCAACACCAGAGCAAGGCAGGAGAACATGGGAAAAAAAAGAGGAGCTGCTATTCTAGAGCAGCAGACGACACCTGTCACCACGACATCACCGTCAACCCAATGGACGCCCACCTAACCCTCGCCATGGCCACTTGGAAATCTGAGAAACGCGCCTTGACAAAAGAAGATTCGCCAAACTGGCTGGAGAATCGCAAGTGGCCCAGGAGCCGCTCTTCGCCATGGAGGCCTACGCGCCGCCGGAGAGGTGGCAAAACCGAGGACAAAAAAAGGTTTTTTTTTTTATTTTTTATTTCGGGGATTTTTTCATGCCAATTCTTTGCAAAATTAGTTGATAACCTTTTATTTTGTTCGGCCTATATCTGCTGACAAAATCCCTCAATTTATTTGAGGTTTTATTTGTATAATCAATGAAAATTTTACTTTTTTGTGTTCATAATAAAAGGAGATTTTACTTGAAAATGTACAAATATTTTTCTGAACGAAATTAATACATAATAAAATTTGCTACATCAAACATAAAAATAAAAAGTGACAAAATTAGTGAAACCTTTTTTTTTTTTTTTTTT